AGAAACAAAATATCCCCCTCTAGTGGTCGAAGGCGGAATAGCAGCTTCCCATTAGTTTCTATGGACGGAAAAGAGCAGATACGGATTAAATGGTTTTCAATGCATTCCTATGGGAAATGCAGATTTGACCTGAGAACTTTTCGACTTGAGAACCGCCTTCCAATGCGGATTAAGTTCTCAAGTCGAGACCCCACTGTAGAGGGGAAATTTTACTTCACAGGGTTTGGGTGCTACTCTTCATGCAACCTAAAATCACATTGGCCTTTTTTGCCGCTACCTCACACTGCTACCTCATATTCAGCTTGCGATCTGCAACAGTTCCAGGATCCTTCTCACTCATAGCCTTACTGAGCCATCCTGTATTCCCCCATCTTGTAATTGTCGTCTCTTTTTCCCTAGGTGTAGAACTTGACACCGATCCCTGTTAAATCTGATTCTGTTCTTTTCAGTGCAGGGCTCAAGCCAATCAAGATCTCTTTGAAATTTGTTCCTGTCTCCCAAGGGATTAGCTACCTGACCCAATTTTGTATCACCCATTCATTTGATAAGCTTTGGAATCTTAGCCAACACAGAAATACATGACAGCGTTTCCTCCCCTTCCAATCCTGCACTAGTTGGACAACCCAAAGTGTAATCTGTTGCGTGCTTGATCCTGCACACAGCAGCCCACGTGAGAGGCAAACCATCCCATGGTGGTCCTATGGGCATGTTTTCTCCGTGTAGCTACTCAGAATAACCAGAGAAACCTGAAACAAGGAAGGACCAAAGCGGCCGCACGCGCTCTATTAAGGTTCAATCCCCCGGCATCAACCCGTTAACAAGGCTCCCCATAACAGACCTACTTCCTGTGAGAGTATTCAGGGCAGACCTAGAGCTTGATCCAATTTAAGGAAGCATATTAAAAAAGGAAAGAGGATGTCGCTTTTCACTCCCTTGTCCAAAAGGACCGTCTTATGCTGTCATCAAGAAAGCCACTGTCAATGCCGGACGAGGTTCCTCCCTCCCTTGCATGTCTCCCAGAAGGGAGGTTCCTGCACCTGCCGCTGCCGAGTCAGCTCCTCTTCCTCCGAGCGCCTGTGGGCCTCTCGGGAGTCAGCCGCCACTTGGATATTTGTCACCAGCTGGGTGCCATCGATCAGCAGTTTGGCCAGCCTCTGAAAGGGCCAAGAGCAGAGCCGTTACAGGGTGAAGCCCCCATCATCTGAAGCTGTCAAACATGCTGAATTATTCAAGATATTGACGGAGGGTGTCCATGAACAGGGGTTGG